TATATATAATTTAATTGTATTTTAATAAATGCAATTAAATGAAATTATATATATATATATTTTTATAATTGACTATTAATTAATTAATGTGAATTAAATATTTGAGAAGAAAATTCAGTTTAATCGGTATGATTGATATGTCAGTTTGTTTATTTTATTTTTTATCTAATTATTTCATTTACAATGTGAAAAATAGTTTAAAAAGTAATTTAGCATCAAAACTAAAATGACAATTATTTAAAAAATGTAAGTGAATATTTGATTTTGATGTAGATTTCGGTAAATTTTAATACGTCAAATGATAAATTACGACGTATGTTTTAATTTAAAAATCGGTCTTATTATCGCTTTAAATATATTTGATTGATATGAAGTACAGTGCACTAACCATTCACTAATCTGAATCTGTGCTAACATAAACATAAATCTGAGCCAATTCTGTTGGTTTTGCCACTAAACAGTCAAAAATAAATCACAGATTAATTTTTTAAAATGACAAAGTTGTAACGTTTTAACATTATTTGATATACATACATTTAGGTTAAAAAAATTTTTAGATTGTTGTGTTTGTCTTTAGTCTTTTAGACCTTTGCTTTAATACGGTGATAAGCAATCTTTTATGGATGCAGGCTGCAAGAGAACTTCTTAGACTTCCGGTGGGCCGCATATGTTTTTTTCTTGTGGAGTTGCAGGCTTTTAGCCTGCTGAACCAACATACTCCATGACTGCCAGTACACTAGATACTAAAATAATATATGCTAATAATATGCAAACTGGTAATATATAGTTTATTCTCATCTTTTCACTGGTCAAGTTTATTTTGAATGATCTTCATCGTAAATATCAGCTTAGAATTGCACTAGGGCTTGAGACAGAAAACAGGAAAATAAAGTTATGTTGCTAAAGCCTCAGGCACTGCATATTAAGACCTCGCAGGATATAGGACATGTTTATGACTGTTTAAATATATAACCGTGCTAATCTGAACAACCTCATATAATAATTAGTTTGGATTAGTGAGAGTGTACTTTCTTTAAATTCATTCAGTATTCATAGTTACCAATCATCAGCGTTTTGCATGCTCCATCAGTTGGCAGGCTGCTTTTCTTTTTTGTCAGAATTTTTAAAGAATTTGATATTATCATGTAAACATTTCATTTAATGAGTCTAACATCAATATATATGTCAAAGACATTGTATGTGTTTTATTACAAACAACCGAAGCAAACCAGGAAGACATTCTCAGATTCCTTCAATTGGGAAAGAACCAAGATTAATATTTTTATATATGTATGTTGGTGTAGGTATGAGAATTTTACCTCAAATGTGATAATTTTAAATGGCAGATAAGATAAATTCAATCTTCAGTTCTGTCAACTTTAGTACTGTCATGTTGGTGGTTAAATCAATTATGGCTGACTCATCAGCAGAAGGAAACAAGTTACTTTCATAGTTATATTAAATAATTGAACAGCTCTACAGTTTCTTTACCCAAAAAGAACAAACATCTGATTCATCACTTAAGAATATACAGGTCATATGGTATAAACTTTTTCAAGAAAAGAACCATTGTCAGTCTTATTATTTAAGACTGATGATGGTTTTACCACACAGCATTGCAAGACCTCCTCTGTATTGCATGTGTGGCAAAAGGAAAAGATATTCAATTTTGTAAGAAAAAGAGAGACGTAGGAAATAAATAGCCAGAAAAATTATTGTCCTTAATAATTGCAGTGAAAATTAATAAACTGACCGATAGCAACTGTTATGAGTACATTGTACCATAACAAAAGAAATTATTAACAAAGCAAAACATTGCACAAAGGCATAAACAGGCACTTATCATGCAATATTCTTGATACATAAAGATGGAACATGTCATAAATCTAGGTGTAGATTTGTATCATAAAATATTTGACCTTTTTTAAATTGTGATGTTAAAGAGTATAAAGCTATTGCCGTACTCTTGACAATGTTTATGGCAATAACTTTATAAGATAGCATATGCAGAGATAACATTGCATTTTGTTTATTAAAGGTATTTAATGTAAGCATTGGGCACTTTTAATGTAAATGTTTACATTAAAAGTATTTAATGTAAACATTGGGCACATGTTAATAAAGAATTTTTTGCTTTTTATTCTGTCAGAATTTTTACTCAAAAATCAATGTTTTTTGACCAGTGTCCCAGCTATACCCATTCTAAAGGTTGGCAAGTATGAGTATCGTAATAATGCTTCAACATATTTAAATAATAATGCTTAAATAAGTAATTGTTTTCATCAGCAAATAATGTTTTTTGCTTTTTAAGATGCTTTATTATATTGGATGAATCCCATTTTTGGGAAAAGAATATTCTCTATGATATCAAATGCATTTAGCTTATAAGATGCATCCTAGTTTTCAGATAAATTTTAAGAACAAAAAAGTATCTTATAAGGCAAAAAATAGGTAATTGAAATTTAAGCCATTATAAATTTAACCACTCAAAACTGGGAATACATTAATAAACACTATTCATATAACCAATATCCAGCAAGAAGAAACTACAACTTTCTTGCTGGATATTGGCTATATGTTCAATGTTTATTTAAGCTATTACATTTCAAAAACACATAACATTAATTTAGTATAGAATCATCAGAATAAAAATCAATAAAATACAGAAAATTTATAATAATACATGATTTAACATATTTTTGCTAACAGATTGTTTAACATGTTTCTTAAAATGTTTACTATTGTCTATACAAAAATGTATTCAGATGTGTACACCTATAGTTGTCTTATACTATTAGATTGATAGATTCAATTTAAAACAATTATTAATCTTATATAAGTATATCATTCACATCCAACATTAAAGCATTCATTCTACACTTTATTGATGATATNATATAACAACTTTATTTTTATTTTCACTTAAACGTTAATATTATTATAGAAAATAAGATATTAATTTAAAAAAAAAAAAAACAATTTAAATAGCAGACTATTTGAAGAAGATAAATAGAGCCATTTAAAACAAACATGATTCTGTCTCGAGAACTATTCCAGGATTTAGACCACCAAGTTGACAAACGACTAAAGTGGATATAGATTCGTTACAAGAGAATAGAGGGGCAGATAGATAACTGCACTCCAGCAAGGAAGATAAGATCTTTAACTGTCTTTAATCACTGTAACAGTTAACCTCCGGGTTCAGTCAGTAATTGATGCTTTTTATAAACAAAAGGTGTTGAATGCCAGTAAAAAAAAAATAAATAAAAAATGCTGTTCAGGTATCTGTGAATCCTCCGAACACTTTTTATACTTTGTTCTTTTCATATTTTTTCTACTCCTTTTGAAGTTAGATTATTCTCTGGTTGGTTATTATTTCACAAAAGAATCCATTGAAGCTTGCCCACCTTTTGTCAAGAGAATGTTTAGACGTGTCCGAGAGACTCCGAGTCTCCACTCCTACCGAGTTTAGCTTCAAAGAATGAAGATAATTAACACACTTAAAGAACCGGTCAATTGGGCGCCATACATACAATGAAGACGAAAATTGGCTTTGTCTCTTCTTTTCTGCACTTTCAATTTTTCAATTATAACCACATTAATGTATGCAATTAACAAGAAATTTAGAATTGTCGATTATTATAAAATTATATTAATAAAAGTTATATTTTCACTTAATAGCTGTACGATTTTTTAACACGTAGACCTAATTGTATTTAAAGTTTTTTTAAGTTAAATTTTAAAATATCCGTATATTTGAAAGTATATAATTTATTTTTTAAAATTATTTTGTCATTATCTCGTACGTTAAGTCAATTAAAAGTACTATAATAATTTGAACAAAATAGTTTATTAAACAATTTATCAACCATTGGTTTCAACCACACAAAAATTCATCATACATAACAACACAAATTAAATCGTTCTTCACACGAAGAACTAAATTATGAAACATTGTTCAGGTACTTTAAGTAGATAAAAATCCACTATACCGTAATATTATAAAGTGAATATAGGCCTACCATATCCGCTTTATCCCATACTTTTTTGATAATCCGACACTATTAAAAGTCTTAACAAGTACACATACATTCGTTTGTAACAGGATAGTTCGCATGTACCCATTGACATCTCATTTTTGGTCTTCTTTTCCCTGAAAAACGAATTGCAGAAGAAAGATCAGAAGCCCAGCGAGCGGTCTTCCTCCCTTTTGCTTTACGCCTCCTTTCTTTGCATTGCCACCGGAGAACAGTTAAACCAATATTGGTTGCTGGAACACAATGCATACCATTGGGCCACGAGCAGAAGGTATATTTTTCAAGACATTCCGCTCTTCTAATCCACGGGGGCCAGAAAAATGGTCCTATGTTATGCCATTTGTGCACTAGAGGACAAGAACCGCGTTTATAAAGCCATTTCTCGATCACGTCGAATACATCACTTGGAATTCCAGCTTCTACGAGTTCTTGTGTCAGATTAAATTTTTTCATTTCTTTTCTCATGTGTATCATCTGGAATCTATCATCCGGAACTTCCGATTCCACTTCTTCTACAACGTTCGGTTCTTCGATTGACATATATTTCGCATCGAAATTATCTCCTAATAATTCTTTTAAATATTCCGGATTCATCTGTTTAGGTCGAGGTCGCCTTATGAATCTGGACGTATCGAAATCGGAGGAATGTGGAGGTCTTCGAGATTGACGAACCAAAGTTTGCGCTCCACTGACTAGATCATCTGAATCTTCGTACTCATCATCAAGAAATTCCATTCGCACGGTTGTCAGGGCACTCAGGAAGATTAGAAAAACAGCCGAAGGTGACATTTTCTTCTCACTAATATAAGAAATTAAGTTAAATATTTAATAACAAATTAAAATATTAATCTATTTTGAATAGTAAAATAATTACACGTTTTAAAATTAAATGCTATTATTAGAATAAAATTAACTTCACATACCTTGAACAGAAGTGTAGTAAAAAGATAGACGTAGTTTGGCCCACAACCACAGGAGTACTACTGATGGGATGTCACAACATCATTCCTTTTTATACACCTCCCGGTCACAGAACAGAATGACCGGCAATTAAACTGTCTATAACAGTCCAGTCATTGTCGGTGGATGTGGTCAACCAGGCGTCCCACGTCCCCCTTTCCACCCCTTCGCAGTCCCCAAGGCTCGCTACAAGCTATCGTGTAGTTCAAGCAGTCGCCGCTTCAGCTACACGGCGCGACGATGCTTATCAGTCGCATGTCAACAATCGGACGTATTGTACTGCCCAAAAGCCCGATTTGCCCATATTGGGTGAGTTTGTTCTTCGGTCGCGTGTACGATGGTCTTTGATGAGACCTGCGTAATCGCTTTTAAGCAAACTATATCCCACTTATCTTTATTGTGACCCAGTTTTCATAGCCAAAAATAGAAGACAATTGAAAGGTATTATTGTTCATTTGCTTGTAAGCCCAGACGTTTACGATTCTTACTTAAAGCTCCAATTTTTTTTTATCGTAGAAATTACACTAATATAGAATTTTCACCATTTGTTTGTCAAATTAGTAAAATAAAAAAATAATAATAAAAGAGCCAAATTACCTTGGAAAAGATAGAAACTTCACTGGAGGAATCAAAATTTCTTTCATTTATCACGATTAAAGAGTTTATGTTAAGATAAATAATAAATTTTTGATTCTTTGAGCGAGGTTTCAGACAGTTTTACATATTTAAAATCTTAAATATATCATTGTAATAAATATTTTTCTTATTTAGAAACAAAAAAATATTACACTTAATATATAATAATTAAATAATAAATGAAATTATAACAGAAAAATGTTAAAAGTTTCCTCTTTTTCCATAAGAATTTTCACAAATAAACTAGTTAATTAGAATTCAGGAAATTTTTCTAGAATTAAAGATAATTAAAAACAATTGCTGAAATAATTTTTACTTATTATAAACAGTGTAATTTAATAAATGAACATTTTAATATGTAATACAATTTCGTGTATTTATTTAATTATTTTTATCTTCCAGACAATTTGATAAAGAAATAGGATAAAACTCCATTTAAAAAAATATAATTTGCAGTTCGTGCTTTGAAAACTAATCAGTATTTAACTTTGAAACTATAATTAATGGATATAAAATTTGCTTATTTCGGGATTCGTGTACAATTATTTCTCATAATACGTAGTTCATTATAAATAATATAAAGTCTATCTCCCTGCATATTTGTAAACACTCTAATTAATAGTTTATATACTGTTAAAAATGCTATTTAAATAGATACTGGCAATAAAAAGCATATGAATAAAGAATATAATTTTAAAAATATTATTTATTTGAGTAAAATATTAATTATACAATTTATTTTCGAATAATTTTAACCAGATTTTCCTCTTTAGAAATGATTTATAAATTATCAAAGCAACTACTGACAGTGAGTAATAAGCTTAGAGTGATAGCATAATAAACAGAAATAATTTTGATAGCAAATATTTATTTATCTTAAAAACTTTCCAAATAAAAAAATAAAATCAATTTATTCTTTAATAAGTACCAATACAACTAACGACTTTTTTATAACATTATTATTTTGTTTTAAAACATTTAAAAAATTTCCTTGGAATCATTGTTCAAATGTAATATATGTAATGTCCCTTTCAACTTACCGAATGCATTAATTATTCTTAGCATTTTAAAAACAAACTATTGTACTAGAAACCTTCACATCTATTAATTTTACTTGTATTTTCTTTTATAAAAAAAAACAATTTTTAGTAAACTTCAGAAAAGTAGAAACACTTATAACAAAATCATCTCATATTCTATTATTTTCCTTTTCATAGATCGTTATCTTTTTACAAGAGTTTTTCTCACACACTCGTTCATTGTCACCCCCAAAAAATATAAATAAATAAACTGATAAAAATCTCTCCTTTAGACTGTAATTTTTCGTGTCTGAAGGAAGAAAACGGCAATGAAAAAAAGAGTTGTAAAAACAAAAAAGATATAGGATGTACCCTGTCTACTTCGGGAGACAAGTCGACGTCAAACTATTTGCATTCGTAGTCTATATTCGACCGGATGTATCGGATCATCTTTGAAAACTTATCGCCTAACAGGCGCCGAATTTTCAAAATTTATATCTTAAAATGTAAGACTATTGTTTTCTTGAATACACTTCAATAGAACCATTTCAGAATTGTTGAAGCAAAGCAGACTCCTTGGGTGGAGTAAAAATCACCACATTGTCAATTATAATACCTCTCTTAGCGGCGAATGAGCATGTGAGATTTTAAACTTCTTATTTCTAATGAAAACATCGTCCATTCACTGAAAACTCTGTCCTGACGTAATCCGAGATGAGAAAATGTATCTACGAGACATGTTGCACGTACACCTCCTTTATACGTGATGTTGTTATAACCTACGAGCAGCCGTTCATTTAAAATACATTATAAAAAAATAAAAAAATGCGAAATTTGTCTGATCTCATCTGACCTTTACGGTTGGAAGAGACTAAATAAAGACTTTATTAAAATCATCAACGAATAGTTTTACATTAATGATGACAGGTGGGCAAGTAATTAAAAACGTTCTTAGATTTATCTAATATTATTTTATATTTAATTTAACGACTTGTATATATTTTTAGTTAAAACTTTTTACACATTCTAAACTTGTAACATGTTGTGTTAAATAGGTTAATGGCGTACCTGTTGGTGACAAAAATGGCTTCGAAAACTTTATATTTTGTAGTAATTAGAAAAATTTAATGATTATCTTCTATAAATCTTTCTGGAAAACGTCGTCGTATTGTATCATTTTTTATATACTACTCAATTAAAAAAGTAACAGGTATAAATAATAATTTTCTATGTTGTTATGTGATATGCAACCTGTCAAAATGTATGCGTTAAATAAATAATTACTTAATAGTTATTTTTATAAGATTTAAAAAGATTTTTACGATCTCCACGAATATTCTCACGTTCCAGATGTTGAAAACCTATAAAAAGAAGACGGAAAATCGGCAATTTTTAGTTTTTATACAGTTTTTTTATTATTATTATATACTGTATATATATAACTGAAACGACTTTTTTTAGAATTCTAAACTCATCTCCCCTCTACCCATAAGCAATTCATAGACATGTCTTTGTTCAGACTCCCTAAAATATATCCTCACATCCACAAGATTTCTAAAATTAACGGTTGCCTTGTAAATGTATCTACTACCGATAAACATGTGTTCTGTCTGTAATCACAATACACTCGTTGTTTGGATGCATTGAATGATGGAAAATATTTTATTCCCAGAGTTGAATGGAGAGGAACGTGTAACTGCATTTAGATGGAGCAAAAAACAGTGTTTTAATAACGATGGAAAACTATTATAGAATTATTAATTAATTGATCAAACATCCTAATAGCTTTTTTTTCCCCCCAATTCGACTTTAATTCCTTTAATAATATCTACAACAATAAGCGATTTTGATCTGATTGCAAAATAACTTTTGACATTCCAAAGCTGCTATTCATGGCTATATTTGTAATAATCGTTCAGTTAGTTATAACTACTCACGACTGTAATTCTCTTTCATTTCTCTTTCCCTATTAGTGTTCAAAGCGCCGATAAGTATTTGAAAATCCGTCTCCAGACTCTACGACACAATCCACTTACCTAACTTCCGGAACCAATATGGCGCCATTTGTGTTTATAAATTTTATCTGATCAATTATAAGAGATATTAGATCCGTTCTTATAAGTATTATGATAGTTTTTGAAAGCATAAATAAACATTGTTTCGATTTATATAGCATTACTTACCGTATTTATTGGAACTCGAGTAGAATCTTGGCTACTTATACTATGTAATTCGGCATAAAAAAAAAATCCTGAAAATAAAAAAATCAAAACGTTATGTCATTTAAGTACTACAGAATCATGTAATTGTTACGTAAATAAAATATTTAGGCTATGCTCTAAAATGCAAACTATTTTACGTAGATTTTTCTCATTAACTTTCTATGTTTGAATTACTTCTTTGTAAGGAAAGATTCGACCGAGATTACTTCTTGAATTTAATATTTAAATTTGTCAAAAATTTAATTTATAGTAAATCTTATCACTCAAGTTTATAATTCATATGTAACCCTTGAATATGCTCAAATTTTAAATGTAATTTAAGCTTAGCAGGGGCATCTCGACCTTGACATTTCAATTCTGAAAGTTTTGAATTATGATTCTTAAATAAAAATTTAAAATTCTTAAAAGATGTATGCCAGATATCACATATAATATATTAGCTACTATATATCTATCCATATGGGCTATTTAACGTAACTTTCTAAAAGATTTCATCAGTCTGGAGAGAAGCGTGTGAATAGATAAAATTACGATTGTTTCGAGTGGAAAATTTTTTAGTATTTTCATTAGAAAAGAGCTATTAAGGAAGAGAAAAATCACTCGATCTATTGTCATTTTAAACTGTAATCGTTCACTAAAAGAAATTATACGATAAGATGAAAATCATTTCCTGCATGCTTAACTGGTTCATATGAAGATTGGAAAGAGATGTCTAAAAGTATCCTAGATCTTAAATCAGATGGAATGTTACAAGGTTAGTTACGGATAATTCTTGAATTTATACGAGTTCATTTCAATGGATTATATCCATATCCAGTAGACAATGACATCTATAAATCCACCAATTTAAAAAAAAAAGAAAAAAAATACATAACAAAGTATTGGGTTTTATAAATTTAGATCTCTCTTTAAAAAAATTCAAATTATTTATTCCGTAACGGATATTATTTAAATAAAATCTTTAATAATGATAGTTTTATTTTTCAGGAATTCATTTACCTGTTTCGGATAAAATTTCAATAATATGAATTATTAAACAATAATAATTGAAATTTTATCCATCTACAGGCCAAGGATAACACGAAAGGATTCATCCGAAAAACTTTATATAAAGTATCACAATTACAGTCGACCTCCCCCCTATAACACTGTTGATAATTCCGTTTTATATGAATTTCATGTTGTACGAGTCACTTAGATTTTACAAATACGTGTGCCCGGCTGTGAACGGCTCACATATATGTACAATCTAAGTGACTCGTACAACATGGAATTCATATAAAACGGAATTATCAACAGTGTTATAGGGGGTCAACTATACTTTTCCTAACATATAACAATAAAAATTTGAAGTAAAAACGTTATTGCATAGTGTTAATTAATGTAAAAAAATAATTATTAATTATAGTATTTATTTTTAACGTTTAAAAATGAAAGTTGTGACTACAGAAAGAGAAATAACCTCTGTCAACGATAAAGTGATTTAAGAAAGAGTATTTTTTGGCAGACAATCAAAATAAACTATAAAAAAAGGTGGCATCTACTATGCATTCAACACAGTAGTTGCATTTTCTGTCTAACTATTGGTGGTCTTTTTAACGTTCGAAGTGGATTTTCTTATTCTTTTTAAGTACTACTCAAGGCCGATAAATTGCATCAGATGATATTCTGTATTATATAACTAATTTTATATTTTAAATATCGTTAAAACGTATATAATACATCTATAATATAGGAAGGAATTAATCAGTCTTTATTTTTATCTACTCTATCAAGTAGGGCCTATAGATTTTACTAGTAAAAATAAAATAAACCACTTGATCAATCATGTGAATACTTTAATCAACTTTTTAAAATATTTATTTAAAAAATTTCTTTTTTTTTTCCTTGATATTTTTCAAATGTAATCAGTAGTTCTTTTATTATTTTCTGTATACAGTTAAAAAGAATCATGTTCTAACATTACAGAAGTCTACAATCATTGCTTAATCTGAATCATATTATAGATTAAAGGTCAAAGTTCAAGCTTTAAATTAAAAAATAAAAAAGAAAAATCTATAAAATTAATTACTTTTTATTAATATTTTAAAACATTTTAAATAGACAAATGTTTATTATTTTTTTTTTTAGGTATTAACTGGAATACACAGAAAATAATAACTTTAATTTGAATTTTTTTTTAATGAGAAATTTGATTTACTTATTTAATTTAATTATAAAAGCTTTATTTATACATTATATATACTTATAAATTTTTTAAATAAGATTAAATTGATCTTTATTCATTAAAATTAATGTAAGATGCTAGTGTAACCTTATTATGAAAAAAAAAGATAAAAATTCTATATTAATTTCAAAATATATTTAAAAATTCCATTAAATCGAATATATTCGTGAATTTAATACGGAATGTATTCAATTTATTAATTTACTTAAATGATAATAATAATAAAATCATATTATAGAATATAATTTATAAAAAAAAAAAAAATACATATATACAGTATTTATTTAATAACAATCAAAATCGACAGATGGCGCTTTCCTATTATGAAATTGACATGTAAAGAAAACGTGTGTAAGTCATATAATAGTTTGAATAAGTTTTTAAAATATGGCTCTAAATGTCGCTCATCCTCCCGAAGGAATTTTCATTTATAATGGGGAATAGTAAGTATTAATAATGAAATTTTTACCTGAATGAATTGGCAAGAAACATTTTCTCGATTTTAATTAATGTTCATTAGTACAATTATGGAAGATTTGTTTATAAAATGAAAATGACAGTTTATTTACATAATTCTTGATAGAAAGAATATAAACAATAATGTAATTAAAATACATATTTTAAGTAACAGATTATATTTAAAAATATATATATATATATATATATATAATTTAATTGTANAATGTGAATTAAATATTTGAGAAGAAAATTCAGTTTAATCGGTATGATTGATATGTCAGTTTGTTTATTTTATTTTTTATCTAATTATTTCATTTACAATGTGAAAAATAGTTTAAAAAGTAATTTAGCATCAAAACTAAAATGACTATTATTTAAAAAATGTAAGTGAATATTTGATTTTGATGTAGATTTCGGTAAATTTTAATACGTCAAATGATAAATTACGACGTATGTTTTAATTTAAAAATCGGTCTTATTATCGCTTTAAATATATTTGATTGATATGAAGTACAGTGCACTAACCATTCACTAATCTGAATCTGTGCTAACATAAACATAAATCTGAGCCAATTCTGTTGGTTTTGCCACTAAACAGTCAAAAATAAATCACAGATTAATTTTTTAAAATGACAAAGTTGTAACGTTTTAACATTATTTGATATACATACATTTAGGTTAAAAAAATTTTTAGATTGTTGTGTTTGTCTTTAGTCTTTTAGACCTTTGCTTTAATACGGTGATAAGCAATCTTTTATGGATGCAGGCTGCAAGAGAACTTCTTAGACTTCCGGTGGGCCGCATACGTTTTTTTCTTGTGGAGTTGCAGGCTTTTAGCCTGCTGAACCAACATACTCCATGACTGCCAGTACACTAGATACTAAAATAATATATGCTAATAATATGCAAACTGGTAATATATAGTTTATTCTCATCTTTTCACTGGTCAAGTTTATTTTGAATGATCTTCATCGTAAATATCAGCTTAGAATTGCACTAGGGCTTGAGACAGAAAACAGGAAAATAAAGTTATGTTGCTAAAGCCTCAGGCACTGCATATTAAGACCTCGCAGGATATAGGACATGTTTATGACTGTTTAAATATATAACCGTGCTAATCTGAACAACCTCATATAATAATTAGTTTGGATTAGTGAGAGTGTACTTTCTTTAAATTCATTCAGTATTCATAGTTACCAATCATCAGCGTTTTGCATGCTCCATCAGTTGGCAGGCTGCTTTTCTTTTTTGTCAGAATTTTTAAAGAATTTGATATTATCATGTAAACATTTCATTTAATGAGTCTAACATCAATATATATGTCAAAGACATTGTATGTGTTTTATTACAAACAACCGAAGCAAACCAGGAAGACATTCTCAGATTCCTTCAATTGGGAAAGAACCAAGATTAATATTTTTATATATGTATGTTGGTGTAGGTATGAGAATTTTACCTCAAATGTGATAATTTTAAATGGCAGATAAGATAAATTCAATCTTCAGTTCTGTCAACTTTAGTACTGTCATGTTGGTGGTTAAATCAATTATGGCTGACTCATCAGCAGAAGGAAACAAGTTACTTTCATAGTTATATTAAATAATTGAACAGCTCTACAGTTTCTTTACCCAAAAAGAACAAACATCTGATTCATCACTTAAGAATATACAGGTCATATGGTATAAACTTTTTCAAGAAAAGAACCATTGTCAGTCTTATTATTTAAGACTGATGATGGTTTTACCACACAGCATTGCAAGACCTCCTCTGTATTGCATGTGTGGCAAAAGGAAAAGATATTCAATTTTGTAAGAAAAAGAGAGACGTAGGAAATAAATAGCCAGAAAAATTATTGTCCTTAATAATTGCAGTGAAAATTAATAAACTGACCGATAGCAACTGTTATGAGTACATTGTACCATAACAAAAGAAATTATTAACAAAGCAAAACATTGCACAAAGGCATAAACAGGCACTTATCATGCAATATTCTTGATACATAAAGATGGAACATGTCATAAATCTAGGTGTAGATTTGTATCATAAAATATTTGACCTTTTTTAAATTGTGATGTTAAAGAGTATAAAGCTATTGCCGTACTCTTGACAATGTTTATGGCAATAACTTTATAAGATAGCATATGCAGAGATAACATTGCATTTTGTTTATTAAAGGTATTTAATGTAAGCATTGGGCACTTTTAATGTAAATGTTTACATTAAAAGTATTTAATGTAAACATTGGGCACATGTTAATAAAGAATTTTTTGCTTTTTATTCTGTCAGAATTTTTACTCAAAAATCAATGTTTTTTGACCAGTGTCCCAGCTATACCCATTCTAAAGGTTGGCAAGTATGAGTATCGTAATAATGCTTCAACATATTTAAATAATAATGCTTAAATAAGTAATTGTTTTCATCAGCAAATAATGTTTTTTGCTTTTTAAGATGCTTTATTATATTGGATGCATCCCATTTTTGGGAAAAGAATATTCTCTATGATATCAAATGCATTTAGCTTATAAGATGCATCCTAGTTTTCAGATAAATTTTAAGAACAAAAAAGTATCTTATAAGGCAAAAAATAGGTAATTGAAATTTAAGCCATTATAAATTTAATCACTCAAAACTGGGAATACATTAATAAACACTATTCATATAACCAATATCCAGCAAGAAGAAACTACAACTTTCTTGCTGGATATTGGCTATATGTTCAATGTTTATTTAAGCTATTACATTTCAAAAACACATAACATTAATTTAGTATAGAATCATCAGAATAAAAATCAATAAAATACAGAAAATTTATAATAATACATGATTTAACATATTTTTGCTAACAGATTGTTTAACATGTTTCTTAAAATGTTTACTATTGTCTATATAAAAATGTATTCAGATGTGTACACCTATAGTTGTCTTATACTATTAGATTGATAGATTCAATTTAAAACAATTATTAATCTTATATAAGTATATCATTCACATCCAACATTAAAGCATTCATTCTACACTTTATTGATGATATCTATTTCTACATAATAAATTTTTTAACTATTAATATAATAAAAAGATCAATAAATTTTTACATAGTAAACAAGAGAACCCAAGAAGGGATTCTTAAAGTATATAAGTAAAAGCAATGTTAATTAAAAAATAAATTTAGGAAAATTTTACTGGTTTACGATCGACTTTTGTGTTGTTTTAAATAGTTCTGTCTTACATATTTATGAATTATAAATGATTATAAAATTATACTAAAATGATTTAATGATACTGACACATTCATATTAAATATATTAACTGTTATTATAGGAAAAATTATAAAATGCAAAAATGAAACGACAGTTTGTTTGTTCATCCTTTATTAAAAAAAAAAGTATAGAACAGGAGTCAAATAATTTAACTCTGATAGTCAGATTTCATTAGATTATAAATTATTTAAAGTATTTGTTATTAATTAGAAATATTGAACAAAATGTATTTACATTTAACTTTATATAATACATTTGGTTTCATGAATTCAATTAAAATGTAGAACAGATTTATTTAAATAATCTCATATTTTTGTTTACAATTGACTTTTAATGTCTGTATTTTCAGTTTCTTACGTTTTAGCTAAGGAATAAGTCTTTATGGTTGTCATTGTAAAACACAAACTATAAATTTTTAATTTTTTTCTCTCCTAATGCTATTTACTCAAGATAATTGAATTTGTTTACTTTATCTTAGATTATCACTTTTCAACAGAAATGATAAGCAAATATGATATAATACAGATGGTTATACATTTCTGCTATTGATGATAAGTTATTTAATATATAAATAAATTTGAACTTCTGTATGATGATAAAGATGATAATGTAAATGCCAGTGATGATAACTGTAATTTATATATAAGATAGAAAAGTAAATTTGATTATGTATTATTAATTTACTATTCTTATTATTTCCAATTATTTATAGTTTGATGATCTTTATATTCATTTGTCTTCATTTTAAAATATTTGTTCTGTAAAATAGAAATTTTGGTTTAAAATTATAATATCATTTCTTCAGATTCTGTATAAATGTATGTAATAAATGATTTTTTAAATTAATGGTGATCAAAAATGTTTTTGTAAAATGTTTAGTGGCCTGATTTTAGTTATCTTTTATTTAATATTAAAAATTATGTCACAATTTGTGAATTTTATTATTACTTTCAGTAATTTTTATATTTATATGAATTATAAAATTATTTTTTAATTTATTCTTAAAGGAAACAGCAATTAATTATAAGGAAAGGAGTCTATCTCTTCTGCATGGAGAGCATTATTCGAGATTCTTAACCAACGGTGATTATATCGCACTAATAGTCATGTGCATATATTATTGTGCTTTGAATTAATTTTTAAATTAAATACTTTCTATTGCAGCTTTTATCTTGATGATCTATTTTTGTGTTATTATAATTGAAGCTAACAATGTCCATCATATATGGATGAAAACATTTGTTTAAGTAAAGGATACATGTTTTTGCAGGTTTTTTGGTGTGTTGATACTACTTAAAATTATTTTAGATGAATTCTCTTTAATGGCAAGTTTACTTTTTACTTTCTTGGCTGTTATAACAGAGGGAAAGTATGGTGATCTTACAAAAATGATCCCCCCAGATTTTTACATTTTTGAACTCTGGACAGTGAAATGTTGAGAAATGCAAAAAAAAATTTGGGGGTAATTTCTGTATGTATGTATGTATGTATGTATGGATGGATGTTTGTGTGTGGGGGAGCACAATTGTGTTCACCCTATTTGAAGCTTAATAACTCCTGTGCTTTTTGTAAAATATTTCTGAAATTTTGCAGGATGGTTTGTGTAATAGGGGGATTGATGCTATTAAAGGTCAAGGGGGTGGGGGAGATAATGGGGGTTGTGTGTATCTCCAGTAGGGTTAGACTTGTGACGATTTTACTGGTTATTGGCATTTACAATTTTTTTT